GAGAAGACATACACTGATGGGAGTGTGGTCTTCTGCTGCTGCTTCAGAGATGCTTTTCTGCATATCTGTGTTGTGACATGATTATTGGAGGTATTGTTGCCTTCCTGTTAGCTCGAAGCAGTCTGGCTATTCTCCTTTGACCTCTGGCATCATTAAGGTATTTTGCACAGATCTGCTGCTCCTTGGATAATTTCAGACCATTCTCTGTAAACTCTAGAGAAAACAGTACGTTGTCTTAACTGTGACTACAGGTCTAAATGCACTGAGTTGCTTCCATGTGATTGGCTGATTAGATATATGCATTAACAAGCAGTTGAGCAGATGCACACAATAACGTGACCATCGAGTGTATTTTTCCAATGACTATGTCTCACAAGACATTATTTTCAACTGCTCAGCAAGAACTGGAAGGCCTTTAAATTTGTAACACTGATTCAAATAAAGCACGTTGCTTGATAATACTCCATGCAGTGTTCCAATAAATCAGAAATCAAGCTCAGCTCAAGCTAAGCCACAAAAAGAAAAATGACCTAATTTAGGAGAATTGATGTTTGAGCGTCAACAACTGTGGTTTCATAAAAAATACAGTATAACAGAAAACAGCACTGCTAAAAGAAACAAAAAACTTTGTCAACATAAACCCTGCTACTGGCAACAATTATGACATAAATTCTGGGTGTTACAATGTAACAACACAACAGGCAGAAGATGCTGCCAAACAAACACAAAGCTCAATGTATCATGTTAATCAAACCCTTGTCTGTTATTTTGTAAGGCTTTTATGTTGCAATCCTATGTATTTTTTTATTCAAATGCAACTCTACACAGCTTTTCCTGCCTTAGCTTTAGTATGAGCCAAGCATATCAAACGCTATGACTAGAAATGCAGAATCCTAATTCAGTACAACCCATAATATTGAAATCTTAATGTGAAACAACTCAAACAGAAAGTGAGAGAAGATCAGACCAGAAGCGAAACTGAGAGATATATGTGCAGAGACAAATGAGCCCTGGTACCAATTCTCCTCTGGTCCTGTTTTCTCAGTATGATCAGTGGTGCATCAGTGTTGTGCATGCAGTGCCACTGCATGAGGAAAAATAGGTCTATTTTTCTTTCTGGTAAAAAAATTCACTGTAAAATGCAAATTAAAGTAATACAATAGCTTCAAAAAATATATTGTGATGACTGCCCTGAAAAAAATCTTCATTGAAAGCATATCACGTTGACTAAAAGCTAGTCATACACACTACTTCTTTGTAACTTCTGCAACACCTCTGCTCACAGCCTTGTGGACTGTAAATTTCTGTGGTACTGATGCCCATCTAGCAACACCTTTTACATAAACAGCTCTTTCAACAGTGTTTAGCAAACCAACAAAATGTTCCGAGATGTGCAGACACACTGATACTCTACAGAGTGCGTAATGAATGCCATAAGCCTTTATTTTCCTTTGGCAGCTGAATCCTGCCAACTTAAATGGTGCTTGGTTCCCTTTGAAGAATGTCTCATTCATGCCAAGGCATAATAGCACTCTGCGACTGTATTTTGAGAAAAATGCAGCATGCAGGTTCATGCTATCAAATGCCAATCACTCTAGTCTTTTTTCCTAATAATAATAACTCTCTAGCATTATATTCTAGCATTTTTTAAAAGACGCAGTGACAAAGTGCTCCACAGTTTGAATAAAACCACACATTAAAGATAAGCATACATATTCCAGCTACAGTCACACATTCATTTAACATAAATACTTCCATCCATATTCCTTAGGTGTATACCATGTTTAAAGTAATGGGAGAAAGTGTAAGGATAGGCTAACCTATACAAATTAGTTTTCAGCAGTCATTTCAAACACACGACTGATTTAGCCGACCTGATAGGCTGAGGAAGGCTGTTCCAAAGTTCAGGAGCTACAACCTGAAAAGCATGATCACCTCTGGTTTTAAAATAAGAGTGTGGAACAGTTAAGAGACTGGTCAGGCGATTGGAGAGGCCAATTACTGGAATAAGGTCTCAGTAGCGCTCATATACACACAGGGGCCAAGCCATGTAGGGCTTTATATGTTATTAATACTTTTTTTTAAAATTTATTTCTGAATTTCACTGAAAACCAGTGAAGGGCAGCAAGAAAAGCGGCGATGTGTGAGTGCCAGTTTGTTTTCATAAGCACTCGAGCTTGCTGCATTCACAACCAGCTAAAGATGGGCTTAGAAGGAATGGCCGATCTCCTTAGAGAAGCTGTCAGGGCCAAACCTGACAACCTCAGCTGACAGTGATTCACAGAGGTAGGAGCATCTGTTGAGGCTGTTGGGTTTAACAGAAATGTACAGCTGTGCATCATCAGCATAGAAATAGCTAGATATGTTTCTGAAGCTGTTAAGCAGATGATCTAGGGGTAACACATATAACCCTAATATTATGAGCAGTGATGACAGCAGCTACAGTTTCAGTTATTAATATGAACTCTGAAGTGTCTGTGTAAGTATGATAAAAACCGTTTGAGAGTAGTGCCAGAGATGCCAACCCAGCTTTGTAATGTTATTGGGAGTGAGATGATCAGTGGTGTCAAAAACTGACACCACCTTTATCCAAGTGCATCAGAATATCATTAGCAACTTCCAGTAAAGCTGTTTCAGTAGTGTGGTTTTGATTGGAATTTGTCAACGATACCATTTCCTTTAACCAGCTGAAGGTGCTGATGAGCGACAGTATTCTCAAGCCTTCTAGAAACGATTAGCAGTTAATAAATGGGCTTGTAAAATGTTATCTAAAACACTGAGATCTAGGGAGGTTTCTTTAAGCAGAGGGAAGATGCTGAGTGTTTTAAACTAATCTGGTGTGCAGCGAGATGAAAGGGTCTGATTTATAATAAAGAGAAGGCAGCAGTAAATGACAGGCAGAACCATCCATCCATTTCCTTCCGCTTATCGAATTCAAGGTCAGAAGGGGCTGGAGCATATCCCAGCTGACAAGAGGCAGGGTACGCTCTGGACAGGTCATCAATCTGTCACAGGGCTAACACGCAAAGACAGACAACCCGTCACGCCTCCAGTCAATTTAGATTGAACAATTAACCCAACCCTATGCATGTCTTTGAGAGGAACCTTGAGTACCCAGAGGAACCCACACAGACCTGTGTCAAACATGCAGACTCCACAAAGAAAGACCCAAGGTTAAATTCAAACCCAGGACCTTCTTGCTTGCTAACGACCACACCACCATGCTACTGCAGACTGGACTTCTTGAATAAATATGTAAATGATAACGTCAGCTGGGCAGGACGAATTGTACATGTGTGAGAATATATCAGTGAGCTGTCGTGGAAATCAGATTAAACTTGGGCAACGGGACAGGTTGAAAGAATCCAGACTTGAGCTAAAACCCGATGCCCCTAATCTTGCCAGCTAAGAAAACTTATAAATTCTTCACAGTCATCAGCAGACATGACAGGGAAAGCAGACTGAGCAGGATTAAGTAGTCTGTTAATGATGTTAAACAAGAACCTTGGACAGTGCAACTCATCTTATTCAGCAAATGAGATGCGAGTGGTTAGTAATTCCTTCGTGTGGATGTACTGAACATGAGATTGTGTTTATACATCCCCATTCAGCTATTCTATCCTCTTTCCTATGATGACTACAATGAACTTTGCTATCTGACCATTTTTGGCTGACAGACAGTTATCAGCTCACACTGTGCATGCGACCTGAAATGCACCCAGGACGCATTATCTTGGCTCTTAGCTAAAACAACTTTTCTTCTTTAAGTAAACATTGTGGGAAACAACTGTGGCTGCAGCCAATAACCGTAAACCAACATCGTTATGTTAAGAGTGTGTTTGAGATTTGGAGATCAAACAGGATGTTACTGTGTGCTTGAACCGCGGCCAGCAGTTTGTCAAGTGATGCAAAAATGGACCTCTCTAAAGTCTGTGAAATGTGGAGGAGACATCCAAAAGGCTGCCATTTCTTTACTTCTCAATGTTCTTTCCCAAAAGCACATACAGCGATAGAGGCTTCTATAACTCAAGCTCACTGACAAAATGTTTGAAATTACTTCCCTAAATAGGTCGTATGACTTTGCTTCCAAAGCTGCAGCACACCCACATTGTGAGCTCGAATCAAAACATAGAGCATTACCAAGCAAAGTGGTGTTTGAGCATTTAGTATCTGTCCAAGCCAAAATTAAATAAATTCTCAAGCATATATCTTAAAGGAACACCCTAAGGAGGTTTGTGTGGGTGGCGGTGCAGTAGCACGTCTGTAGTTGCCGCTAATTAAATGATTCAGCTTTGTGGAAAACTTACTCACACCCATGATGAACACTAACGGCATTTATTACACTCGGCTGCTTACATGAAATCTGCCCTGTCTCTTACACATTTTTAATATGACCATCTCTTTAAAGTATGTAGTGACGAGTATTTTTTTATTATGCCTGTGAGGCACCCCTCGCAGTGAAGACAGATTAACTTAATCCAAAGCCTCTGACAGAAGTTTTGCTGCGGGGCATAGCTGTGTCCACTATGCCTGTGAACTGTCATAATTAGAGGCAGTCTCTGAGCACAGACAAGGCCAGTCTAAAGGCTTGTGTATGCCTATGATCCCTTTAATTCACAAAGGATGATAAGGTGGAGAATCCACATCTGTCACAGGAAAACTCTTCAGAGCATAAATACATGCCTACAAGCGCAGATATGATAACTTTTATAAACAGTAGATAAAATGAAGAAGACGTTTAATTATTATTAGCCCCAGGCAGTGACAGCTTACGCAGTCTTCATTTACACATACCATTCAGTACTTCATAAAAAGAGAACTGCACCCACTGTCTACCAAATCAAAACCTTTTTATATGTCACATTAACAAATCCGAATCTGACATCATGCTGAGCTACGTGCATTGGCGCAGATTATAATTATAACCCTTTCACTCAAACATTCCCACAATCACAACTGCATAGAAGTATAAATCACTCCGCTGACAGTCTCTGCTGTACCTGTAACACGTCGTAACCTCTCCCGTTGACTTCACGCAGGGGTACTTTGTGGTAGAAATATTATTTTCCGAGCATTTCTCACTGCGGATGAAACATTTCGAAAGTAAAGTCATAATTTCATTGCACATAAACTGCAAGGACCTTTCAAGTTATTTTGGGTTCACATACACACACAATTTTACCCGTCAGTGGCATCCTCTTCTTGGTAGGACCAAAGCAAACCTCCTGAGAAGCACATGCAGGTGACGGTGAGCAGAAGAAGACTCCCGTTGTGTTTTAGCAGCATCTCCTCGGTCCGGTCACCTGGCGTCTGTTGACAGTCCGCACTTTTAGGGGTAATCTCCTCACTGCCGCAACTTCACACACACACACACGCCACACACACACACACACACCAACACACAAACACACAGTGGAGCGCAGAGAAACCCACCCACTCACCCAGCGCTTGTCGGTGTATAACCGCTGCTCATTCTTGATGTGCCACTGCAGGACCTGAACTCACTTTAACTTCCGCTGCTTCTATAATTAAAGAAGTTACGTTTTAAGACTAATTTAAAGTCTTTTAATTCTCCAAAATGTGTTTTAATTAAAGTAGAAGTAGTTTGTGCACCGAGGTAAATCTCTTGTAAATAGTGTCTCCTCGGTTAAATGTTGAACATTGACTGGCAAAACCCTAAACTCATTCAACACTTTAGAGCGCGCAGGCAAATGCACGTGCGCAAACACGCGCTCCGGAGCTACTGAGCGTTTTGAGCTTTGCTGCCACCACGCGGCTGTAAATAAAATAACACCTAATTAGTGTTCATCAGTTCAGTCACTTTAGGTAGGTGCACCTAATGTAGTATGTCTCTGTTCTCCTAATGTTATAAAGTTTTAACTGTAAACCTTCGTGATATTGTTTTTCTTTTAACTTTTATTTCACCCCATTTTGCCTTCAGACTTGTCTTAATTACTTGAGAATCTAGAAATTGTAATCCATGTTGAAATGATAGCATCATACAGTTGCAGCAGATGTTTTTAGTGAATAATCAATTACATTTTATTTATATAGCACCAAATCACAACAACAATCACCTCAAGGTGCTTCATTATTGTAAGGTAGAGACCTTAAAATAACACAGAGAAAACCTCGACTGTTGAACTCCCTTTTAGCAGGAAGAAACCCAGGGCAGCCTGTCCTGAGCAACCTCCTAGTGTGCCTAAAAGGTGGTCCAACTGTAAATAATGTCCTGTCTATCAGAAGATGAGCTTCAATATCTGAAGAAAAGTGCGTGTCCGTGATGCAAATTTCCCATTGCACCACATCTCAAAAATAGATGAGTTGGACCGAGACTATTGGCTGTCACGTTCAAGAAACCAGTTTGAGATGATTTGAGCGTTGTGACATGCCGTGTTATCCTGTTGGAAATGGCATTTTGTGAAAAATGCTGCAAAACAAACAAAGCTACACTAACTTTGTGTTTTTGAAATGTTGCTTTAAAATCCTGGGTAGCTTTGTCCTGGATAAACAGGTTAGCTTACAGTACTGTGGTGAATTCACAGTAAAGCACTGTGTTGGACTGATAATACAGTGGCTGTGTTTAGGTTATAGGAAGTGTTGCAGAGATGAATCTCCATTTAAGCTGATGATGATTAGATTAATTAACTGAATTCCAACTTTATACCAACTGCATACTGTCAGGTATAAGACAGGATAAACAGTATACTGTCAGTGTAGAGGATGGACTTCAGCCAAGATAGCTGGGAAACTGTATACATCTTGCTAAATTCAGTTGTGTAAATCCAGAAAGAGCCGCAGGTCAGCTGATCATAGCCTGTACACTAAGAAAATCTATTGATGCTCATGTTAGAAATTATTGTGAGCTGTGATTCTTTTCCCTACGCTGAGCCGCTACACAGAATCCCACTGTAACCCCTGACTGTACTCGTTTTATTGCTTAGGTGTGAAGGTAAAGTGACCATCTACAATGTAGGCAACAATGTAGATGGTGACTTATAACTGAAATCAGACAGCTATTTTTAAAAAATCCCCTTTCATCGCATGTATCATGCATAGGAATTTCAAGATTTGTATTTATTTATTTATTTTGGGGATCACGGTGGGCCCCCTGGACCACAAATGCAAGCCCTGACTTTTTGTCGTAAACACTATAAATATGAATTTCAGAAATGTTTTTATGTTGCTTATGCCAAATCCTGACCCCACCATCTGAATGTCACAGCAAAAATGAAAACTCACCAGGCCACTTAACATTTTTCCTGTCTTGAACTTCCCATTTTGGTGAGCCTGAGTGAACTGTAGCCTCAGTTTCCTGTCCTTTAATGACAGAAGTGGGAACCAGTGTGGTCTTCTGCTGCCATACAGTAACACATCTGCTTCAAGCTTCAGTATGTTTTTTGTGGAGAGATGCTCTTCTGCAACTCTTGAGTTACTGATGCTTTCCTATCTATCCATGGTCTGGCCATGTGTACATGTCTAAATCTTTTGAGTTGATGCCATGTGATTGGCTAATTAAATATTTACATTAACAGGCAGTTTTACAGATGTGTAACTAATATAGTGGCCACTGAGCGTATATAGGTTTGTATTATGCATTAAGTAGTCGAACAATCCCCACAATGGGGGGATAGGTTAATTGAACAATCTAAATTGCCCATAGGTGTGAATGCGGGAGTGAATGTGAGTGCGACTGGTTGTCTGTCTCTGTGTGTTGGCCCTGCGACAGACTGGCGACCTGTCCAGGGTGTACCCCGCCGCTCACCCTATGACAGCTGGGATAGGCTCCAGCGCCCTCCACGACCCTGAAAAGGATAAGCGGAAGTGAATGGATGGATGGATGGATAGTCAAACAAGTCAGTAGCATTTGCCTAGCATTTGCGGAGCCATCATTTTGCGTTTCCACCTTTAAAAGCCGGAGAGCAGTCAAATGCTGGAAGTGGAAGCTAAATTGGCTAGTCATTCATATGTATATTAGGTTGTTACCTAGGAATTCTGGAGGGAGGGGAGTGGGGGTGTGTGAGCTAAAAGCTGTGAACTTCCCTTTTGTGTTTCATCTTGATGCATTCTCAATCATCCAGGGAAATAAATCTCCAAAAGTCACCAACTTGGAGTGTTACAGTTTGCCATCTTAGGGAGAAATCAACACACATGGGTGTATTTCCTTTGTTGCTGAGATTTATTGATAAAAACAGTACAAAAAACCAACCATTTGTACACATATTTACAAATAATAATAAAAAGCGAGTGAGTACATTACAACATTTTCAGCAATCACTCACAATCCTGGCATCCATCACATCCACGCCACACTTTGTTTTGTTGTAAAGGGTGACAGTGTTTGGCTTCCTTTTGGTAGTGTTATCAGTCTGAACCACGCTTTGTTGCTGAGATTTATTGATAAAAACAGTACAAAAAACCAACCATTTGTACTGTACTGTACTGTATCTGAACCACGCTGTGCATGCTGCTTGACCTTCCCATTGCTCACAATTTGAATTTGTTCACACTGCAGATGAGGAGACTGCTTCTCCACCGAAAAAGAGAGCTTGTTTGGGGACTGAGACAGCGAAAGATGGCACAGTGCGGCGTGAAGAATAGGTGGGGACCTGTCTCCCTTTCACCCCAATAGAAGGTTTTCCGTCTAAGAAGTTTTTGCGCAAGTGAAAGCGATGTGAAGAAATTGTCCGTGGTAACATTTCTGCCCTTGTCTAGGAATGGATCCATCAGCCTCATTACTACATTTTCAGAATGTCTCTCCCCAGTGGGACGATTGGGGTCCTTGCCAAGATATGGGAAGACATTGCAAATGTACTTGGATTTTAGGTCGCAGGCCACCCAAAACTTGATCCCAAACTTGTCAGGTTTACTTGCAATATACTGCAGGAAACAGCACCGAGTCTTTGATGGGAAAAGCTGTTCGGTGATATGTAGACCAGGGTTGTAGCACGTGATGCAGTTGGTGACAAATGATCCCCACACACTGGAAATTGCAGCGAACTTGTCAGTCTTTGCTCGATCACAGCGGGTGGACTTGTCATCAAAGCGTAGGTGTTGCATGATGTCTTGGAAGCGGTTTCGTGCCATAGTTCCAATTATCTGTGGGTTCCAATTATCCATCCAGCAGTCATTTACAGATGGAACCCTGTAAACCCCCCGCAAGATGACAATTGCAATAAATGCCATTAGTTCAGGGAGGTCCATGAACCAATGAACATGCTCCGTTTGCTGTGCATGTTGAATAGTCCATTCTTGAATGCTATGAAGCATGTCAAGAGTGATGAAACACAGGAAGCTCTGAAGGCGACTCGAGATACTTCTCCTGGCCTTAGCCGTTGGCTCTCCATCTGCAGCGTACGCTTCTATTGGGGTGAAAGGGAGACAGGTCCCCACCTGTTCTTCACGCCACACTGTGCCATCTTTCGCTGTCTCAGTCCCCAAACAAGCTCTCTTTTTCGGTGGAGAAGCAGTCCCCTTATCTGCAGTGTGAACAAATTCAAATTGTGAGCAATGGGAAGGTCAAGCAGCATGCACAGCGTGGTTCAGATACAGTACAGTACAGTACAAATGGTTGGTTTTTTGTACTGTTTTTATCAATAAATCTCAGCAACAAAGGAAATACACCCATGTGTGTTGATTTCTCCCTAAGATGGCAAACTGAAACACTCCAAGTTGGTGACTTTTGGAGATTTATTTCCCTGGATGATTGAGAATGCATCAAGATGAAACACAAAAGGGAAGTTCACAGCTTTTAGCAGCTCCCCCACCCCCTCAATCACACACCCCCACTCCCCTCCCTCCAGAATTCCTAGGTAACAACCTAATATACATATCTTCCACTTCCAGCATTTGACTGCTCTCCGGCTTTTAAAGGTAGAACGGTAGAAGCCTGGGACTCCAGGTGCCTAGATGTATGCCTACCTGACTCACACCTCAGTCATGTGGCTTCTGTCACTTTGAATGGAACTCACTGAATACAGAAATCAGACAGCTTTTTCACTGGAGAATGTAGAAGTGTAAAGTTCCTGTCTTAGATAATGTTTTTGTACAAAAGAGTTTTACCAGCCAGGAACTTGTTTAAAAAATCCTGAATTATAACTGAGTATCTAGAAGAAAAAAATCAACTGAAGTGCTGCAGATCTACCAGTCCAATTTCTACTTTATTAAATCATGTTAAAAAAAAAAAAGCTGACTTAGGATTTAAAACACCGCTCATTAACAGGTGTGTCTTTTTCCTGAGAGCAGAGCAGCCTCTCTCATCCTGACAGATCATTACACAGAAGAAAAACTATTCCCAGTGTGCCTCCATCCCATCAACTATGTAATGATTCCCTGGAACCAAGTTGTGACGCTCGTGCTCTGCTAAGTGACCTCGCTATCTAGCTCATTCTTTGGGTCAAGTGATCTACGAAGACGGAGGAGAAACCCTACACTAATAATAGGCTGCTGCTGACTTCACTTCTGATTGACCTCGACCTCGCTGTAACCTCCAACAGCGGGCCTGATATAAGCACAAACGCCGCTCTCCAGCACCTGCGAAGCTCAAGAGTTCTTCAGTTTCTCAGGAACACAGTGTGGCATTACAGGGAGTTGGATAGCGGAGTCACTGAGGCGTCTGTAAAGGATATCCCAGTGAAACAGGAGGACTGCGGTGTCTCTTACAGCAACT